ACATTGTCCTGAGCACTATAGGGATACAAAGATTAATGTTGCCTTCAGAGGTGCTAGTGTGTTTTGCCTAAACCGGGAGGCTCTGAACTAAAAGAGAGCACTGTGAAAAGCGCAGACAGCACTCTGACAACTCAGAAAAGGGAGACTGCTTCAGGGGGCTGGTCAGGAAAGGCTGGGGAAGTCACAGATGGTCCTGAAGGCCCCAGGTGGAGAAGGGATGCCCAGCAGAAGGGGGGTCAGTGACATAGAAGAGACACAGTAACAGACCAGAGGGAGAGACAGGAAGGAATGAAGCAGGATGGAGAAGCTGGATGGAGGCGATAGGAGTGGAAAGGAGGTCAGGTCTGCAAGTGTGGGGAGCACCTCCAGGCAGAGGGGTCAGAGCGAGGGGTGCTGAGCCATGAGCTCCACGAGGCAGGGGTCCACCAGTGCACACTGAGGGCAGACACTTCGTAAGGCTAAGCTGTTGCAAATGGCTCTCAGTGTCGGCCAGAGTGTACAGGAGCATGAAGCATCCATGACAATGGTGCAGGAGGCAGCCTGGAAGGGACCAATGCGAGTTCCTCTCAGACCCACTGAGCCTGAGGGGCCTTCGGGATGGCCGGCTGGAGCTGCAGGATGAAAACTTGAGTAGGGGGGACAGAAATGCAGCCCTGAGAACCGTCCAGAGAGCAGCAGAAGAGAACACACTGAGAGAACGAAGGTGACGACAGAACCTGGGACTCAAACAGCCAAGGCCTTCCTGCCTTTCCCTCACACTGAGCTGACGCAGAAGGAGGAGGACATGCGGGGACAGCTTTAGGGAGTTCAGGAGAGTTGAAGAAGGAAGTCACTCACCTGGGGGCCACGCACCCCATGAAGGTGAAGGAGACGAGGAAGTTTCCATCAGCCTAGGTGTCGGGGACTACCTAAGACTGTTCACACTTCTTGTCACCATGTTTCGAAGGCTGGATTGGGGTATGCCTTTGGCAGGTGTCCATGTCTTTAACACCTGTTTGTCAATACCTGATTTTGTTCCATCTAGGTTAAAGGGGTGTCCCCGGTGGTTGGTGGTTGGAGAGAGGCTACGTGGAGGCACCTCTCCTATTCCTTCCCCACTAGTCCCCTCAGCAGATCCGCTAGTGACCGGAAGGACAGGAGGGGAGCTGGGCTCTATCTTTCAGACTGATCTTTTCAGTTCAGAGCCTACCAGTTTAGGCAAAACACACTGCGTGCGTTCTATGTGGAGGAATGTACATAATACAGTTTTGCTTATTCACCACAGTTTGAAATGTTTTTAATAAGAGATTCTAGTAGAAAGTTGCTCCTCAGGTTCAAGTCAAATCATGAGTTAGCAAAGAGTTTCTCACAGCTCACTAGACAACTTGATTAACATTCACATGAAAGCTAAAAGAAGTAGACAACAAACTGTCTATCCAAGGTGGAGACAGCAAGGTCCTGGGCAATCACAGAGAGATTATTCCAGAAAACAGTGGTCTATTCTCAATGACACAAACTGGCAGAACTTGGATGTGGACATACTCTGTAATGAATCAGTTACTCCACCTCCCACTGGCCTGTAGCCCGAAGGAGGTGCTCAAAAAATGTTTTTAGAATAAATAACTGCTTTTCAGCATCCATGTCCCTCCCTCTAAGAAATCCCAATACAGAAAATGCAAACAGAAAACTTCAAATGCAACCAATTACAAAACTCTGCCCTCGGTTAAGGAATTCACTGCAGTTTTCCTTGGAAGTTCACTGCTGACACTTAACACACAGCTCAGCTTGGGGGGAGGAGACAGCTAGCAGGCCATGTCTGCAGCAGCCCACAGCTGCAGCTGTCCACACTGCTGGCACCCCGGTGCAGCCCCATCCCCACCCCTTCTTTACATGCTCTCTCTCCAGCATTTCCCCCTCATTCTGGTCCCATGAAGGCTTTGTGCACATCATTTTAGCATATTCAATACTTCCTGAATAGACTGTATAATTTTATGCAAGGAGTTTAGTCATCATCTTTATTAGGACATGGTACTAATTTGCACATTAATAATCGAGCACTATAAAACCACATGCTGGAGCACCGCAGCTGTCCTCCCCAGCCCCGCATGCCAGCACAACAGGCTCCAAACTGCAGCGGCTGCAGAACCTGCAGATAAACAGGGTAGCAGGGAGAAAGTTCTTACTCAGATCTAAATGTGGCCGCTGCTTGTTGATCCAAGAGCTGAGATCACTTGGAGAGATTGTGCTGAAACATTTCTCTGATGCTGTTTCTTTTCTGAGAACAGGTCTCAGCGTGCTCCTGCCAGTCATGAACACATGGAGGAGGACAGAGAGGCAGAGGGATGGACTGTGCTAGAAAACAAGTGCTTGTGTGGGTTTCACCTTTCAAAAGTATCAATTTTCTACAAATTAGAAGAAATTCTGCTTTCACACAATTGCAAGTAGGTTTTAAGAGGCTGACTTACACATTTCCTACCAACCTGTTGACCACGTTGAAAAGAAAAATCCATAGAGAATTTCCCATCTGCAGTGTACCGAAAAGTATTTTCTGCAGCTCACACAAATAATACTAACTCAAATTAATTGTAAAACTCTGTAGTTTGCTGGCTGCTTTCAAATACATTCCCCTTTAGAAGTAACAATGATACGTGAAGAGCATTAGCGATGGAGAATCTTGTGAAATGAAGTGATGCTGGGTGTGGAAAGGGCTAGGAGAGGGAAAAAGGAGCATGGGGTTGTGACTATGGCAGAGGGGACTGAGTGTTGCTGGGTCTCTGGGGGCAGTAAAAATCTAATTAGGAAAATTCAGAGGGGCTCTTCTGTGAAAGGGGATAGTAATAATGGTTACCTCACTGGTAGCTGCCTGAGGACTAAGTTGACTTATTTAAAGTGCTTGGAATAGGACCACGCACATAGACCTCATAAATTAATAACTATCTATTAAAATTAACAGAAAAGGAAAGAATTTGCTGCAAGACAACATGGAAGAGCTTCACTGGATAAATCTTTTCCTAGAAACCTACTTTTCCTCTTAAAACTGAAGGACACAAAGGAAAGCACTGAAGAATATAAAGTGAATGCTGTTTCTACCTAGTGAAATAATTCAAAGCAAAAAGAGGGGTCCATATGCTAACAAGTAAAAAAGTACCAAGCCTATGAAATGCAATTCTCAGAGGACTGGCTTCATTGTTCTAACTTCCACTTAGATCCAGAAAACTAAGTGGCCTGAAAGAGAGACAGTGGGAAGAATGAAAGCTGAGGATTTCAACAGAAGATAAAGTCTCCATCTCCTTCAAAACGAATGGACACATTGCTCTTTGCCGAGCACACGCTTTGTTCTCAGGCTACCCACCCACTCGATTATTAAAATTGTTTGAGAGTCCTTTCTCCAGCCCAATAGAAGAACTAAAAGCTGCACGTAAGCAAACTTGCAGTGCAGCTGCTGTGGGATCCAACTCCAGGAGCTACCGAGGCCCCGGCACACCTGCCTTCTCTGCCCTCCCGCCAGCCCCTCACCTGGTCTCACCTGCGCGCACCTCACCTGCCTCCTACACACTGCCGCACACCACTTGGTACATTCTCCTGGATCTTCTCGTCTTTAATCAGTAAAGGAAGTTAAAGTCAACACGACAAAAAAAAAAAAAAAAAAAAAAAAAAAAAATCCGTCTATATATGTTTTTAAAAGATGCTCCCTCTAGGTTCCATCTGTTTCTACTCCCTTCTGGATCTCCAGTTCCACATACAAGACAGGACAAGCAGAGGTAACTTGGGCATGTTACCTCTGTGAAGAAAACTGACTTTAAAAATCTTTGGGGCTTTATTGGCCTGGGATTCTAAACTCTGGGGGACATGATACAGCTCTGTCCTCAGGCTCTGAACTCTTTAGACGATCTTAAGGTTCTTTTCAAGCATGTGTCTTTTTAAACAATTAGTACCGTTAAGTATTCTTAGAAACTAAAAGCCAACGTTCTTCATGTATTTTCTAAATTTCAAGAATCTCAGGACCAGCTTCTTATCTAATGTATGCCCTCGAGAACTAAAACCAAGGGCAAGAGGTCACTGCGGCGTGGGCAAGTTCTAGCTCCTGCTGCCAGTAGAGATCTCTAAACGAAGTGAAAAGAAAGCCACCCGCGCAGGCAGCCCGCCATGCCCCACGGCTCTTCCGACAGCCCATGGGAAGCAGGGCCGCGCAGCTGCAAGACAGTCAGGCAGGAGGGGAGGCAGGGAACTGGGAAAGGGCCCAAAAAAGTGGGAGTAAACATCAGAGGAGAGGGAGAAAGAGGGAATCAAAGCACCCAAGGGCAAAAACGAAAGAAGGAAGAGATCAAGAGAATAAAGAGGCAGAAGAGAGGGCCTGGGGAGGGGAGGGACAGGCTCGCTCTCCATCTCTAGCAGGATCTTCCTTCCATCTGTGGTCCAGCAGGACGAGTGTCGGCAACAGTCCACACAAGGGCAGGCCGGGGCATGGCAGGAAGGCAGCACAGATGCAGAGAGGGCCACCATTTGGTCTGAGCAGGACTGGAAGGTGTCCTCCCCACTCACACCATATTCACACTTCTGAGACTTCCCAAGGCAGCCTCCCTGTGGAGACGGCTGACCTGGAGACAACATGGATTTCATGGTCTTAGCCTCTCAGGTTCTGAACCTCAGAGGACCTTCTGATCACCATCAGTCAGCCAGAGCCCACTCAAGGCAACCTGTTCTAAGGACCCCGACATGGAAATACAAAGCTACCGACACTCAGTGTGAGCTGCACAAGAGGCCTCCTCCTGCAAGAGTGGAAGGTTAGGGTATCCCTGTCAACTGCTCCTGAGGCCGTGCAGCGTGGGGCAAAGACTTCACAGCATGTGGCTGCTGCTGCTTAGTGGAAGAGACAGCACTGGAACAGTCTCCCCATCAAAACCAAAACTCAATGCAGCACAGCAGAAACACTCTGATTTGGGAACATGATCATATAATGCCTACCTGGTAAGAATATACAGTTGGCTATAGAACAAAAGGAACTACCCGAATCCAAACTATTGCCTCTTAATCCTTTAATTAGACCGAGTCCTTCAGAAAGAGAGCAACTCGCTATTACTGAAGGAGACCCAGGGCAAAGGCAGAGCAAGGTGTCCCCGCACACGGCACAGGCACACATGACCAGCTGTTTCAGATGGGTACAAATAAACACTCGTGGTGATGGGCTCAGAGTTTACACAGAAATTTATCTGTTTATAAGAGCTACAATTTGAAACACTAAAAACAGTTCTTCTGGAAATATGATTTGGGAAACATGGTGAGAGGGCGAGACTCAGCAATCATGGGCATGTTAACAGATGTGCCCAGACCATCGGGGCTGACTCCTCGCTGACTCTGGGCCAAGGGGGTTGCCCTGGCAGCGACCGGCAGCTGAATGGTGGGGAGCCCTGGCTCGAGAGGGTTCACTTGGAACCTTTCTTCTTTTTCTTCTTCTTTCTCACTGGTGATTCATCTAGCCAAGTGTCCACTGCTACCACCACTGGCTTTCGCACATTTTTCTTTTCTCTCCTTTTTTTGAGCTTTGAGGCAAAATCCTGGTCCTCTGGTGGCCTCCCACTATCCTCACTGACCTCAGCAGAAGTGTCTGCATTCTCGTCCCCACGGGTGGCCCTGAGCTGCTGCTCAGCAGGAGCTCCCCTCTTCCCGGCCGCAGGCTCACGGTTCTCCTCTCCTTCCTCAGGCTTTTTCCTTTTAGGCCGCTTGACCTTGGGTTGGGGGTAATTCTCCACATTTTTATCTGTTGCCTCTTTGTTTCCTTTCTTTCCCCTTTTCCATTCCACTGGGGTCTCTGGAATATCAGGCCCTGAAGCTGTTCCTTGTGGCTTGTTCTGCAGCTTGGCCATCTGCTGGGCAAAGTACTCCTGGATAGTGAAGGCACTGGTGGTCGTCATGGTGGAGGTGTCATCCCCATCCGGAGTGCTGGGGCTGGAATCGTCCTATGGTGGGGAGAAGAGTTAAAGAGCAGTTAAGTATTCACCCTTCATTCTACCAGCACCTAGGAGGGCGCCACATAGAGCCACGCACACATGGCACCCAGCGTTCACTCTCCCGGGTCCCAGGATGACCCCACGTGGAGCCACGCACAGGCAGCAGTTAGGACACGGGGCTAAGAGACGGGTTCCCCTCCTATCTCCCCTCCTATCTCTCGCAAAGCACAGGGCAAGGCAGCCACACACTCCAGCTGAGTACTACGCGGGGTAGCAGGTGAACAGACAGAGGCTAACTTAAGAAGTTAGCTGGCAAGTCACCTATATGTAATTCTGACTAAACATCCCCCTAGAAACAACATTATAAACGGCGATTTGGTTCCCAGAGTCTTCTGTAGGAAACAAGGACACAGCAGTTCTGCAGCTTCGTGATTTTGTTAGACACTAGTTTCAGCTCCATTATGATTGCACAGGTCTTTGTATGTTGACCTGGAAACTTAGATGCTACTTAACCCTTCCCATGAGGACAGAAGCCAAATCCAACCTGGAACCTGGACCATCAGGGACTCCGTCCTCCTCCCTGATGTTCAGAGCACGGCCAAGCAGGCAGCTGCCCCCAAAGAGAAGGCACCTGGGTGGGAGCGCACAGGCTTCCCCTCGGCCGAGAGCCACTCCTTCCCTCTGGGGCAGAGAGGGGCCACCCCACTCTGACCAGACTGGATTCCCACGGTGCTGTCAGTGATGTTGTTAAATTTGAAAAATGTCTTACTTGAAACAGCTGGAATTAAGTGGGGTTTACACTATAACTTTAAGGAAATACATCTCACTGTACACCCTGAAGAGCAAGAAAAAGCTACTAACGAGGAGGTGGAGTAAATGAATGGGACAGCTGGCGTCACCCACGGGCCATAGGAACGGGCAGCACGGCAGGAGAGGAAGGCCTGCTGGCTGCAGGGCTCCAGGCCAGCGGGCACCGAGTTGGCCACGTCCAGAGCAACTCCCCTCAGGGACCTTCACAGCGATCATATCGCTAAACAACAACACTGGCCCCAGGCTTTCAGTGACCTGTACCCTTCCTCCACATCCATGTCTCCTCACAGAAGAGGTTGCTGTTCCACCCCTTCATGCTGGCAGGGTGGGAAATATCTCCTGAATAAAGCAGTTTCCAAATAAAGATTCTACACATTACTCTGAACTTGGCAGGTGAAGTTATGCCTGGTCAGCTAACTTAAATACAAACCAACACACATCGACGAGCCGTGTATTTCCCTGACACACGGACCTCAAAACCAGCTAGGCAGCACCAGAAGCAGCGTCCACTTGCAATCCCAGCAGAACCAGTACTGTATCAATGACGGACTGGCCCTGAGTGCAACTGCCCCAGACAGCTCTCACCAAAGGGTACCTCTGTCAACATCACGACTTAGCAAATCAACACACTAACCTTATATTTTTTAGCCTCTGGGCTATAAAACCAAAATCATGTGGTTAATTTTGGAATTTCAAAGTATAAAATGCAGAACATGTGGAATAAATCAACTGAGTTCTCGGACAAAGTTTAAATTTTATCAGCACTCAATTTTTGCTGGAATCCCATCAGGTAATTTTGAGAAAAATAAAAAATAGCTGCCCCGGAAGACAAAAAGTAGGTCGCTTTGTCTCTGTGCTCCTCAAATGTTGAAAGAGAGCTGAATTTTTGCAGAGCAGAGTGAAAACTCTCTTGAGGCTGTCCTAGAGCTAGTCAGTCCCCGTGTGACGGACATAACCTTGCCTCCCACATGAAGTCAGGCCCACAGCTACACAGAAACACCAGCTGACCAGGCGGCTGTGTGTGCCACGAAGCTCTCAGCTCTCCAGCCACATTCCAGGGCCTACTGTCCGTGGGTCACTGCTGCAGCAGCCTGTGGGCTGGAAACCTGCATCCGAGGCACTCACCAAGGCTCCTTACCCTGCATGCCTATTTATCGCCTTCTCAACTCTTGCTTTTATCAGTTTAATCCTGGAGACCAATTGCTTGTGTTAATCCCGCACTTCTAAGTATTAGAAAGTATCACACCGTTTTTGAGTCATGTGGTAAATTCAGCAGGTCTATCTAATCCCAGAAAATAAGAACGCTCATGATCAACTCCTGTAAGGAGAAGGGGCGTACCAGCCTGGACCACTGCACACCTCGCTTAGCAGAACATGGAGGCAAGCCAGAGAGGTGCCAGCACCCAAATCCTCTTTCTCCCAGCAAAACACAAGCAAAACAAAGATCTGCTGGACAGAGCTGTTTAGTGCTGGGGCAGCCTCCCTCCCATACTACAGCAATGTACGTATTTTAAAAAACCACACACACAAGGGGGTACTATGTTGAAAATCTGATTCCTGCAGGAACAATGCCCAGGACTCATATTTCATACACTTGAAATCAGAACCCGGTTTTACCACAGAGATTACATTCCCTGGCACGTGTTCTTAACCATGGCATCTCATAACAAAATATATGCCTTTTCAAGAAAACTAACCCTTTTCATATCTGGCCTCTATTTCAAAGTGAGCAAGCATCGAGAGAGGCGCCGGTTACTTTGCAGTATTCTGAAAGAGGAACGACTTGAACCTTCCCACGTGTTCAGTAAACACACGTCACAACCTCAAAAAAAAAATCTGCAATATTTAAATGTGACTTTCACTATTTCATAAGCTTTGAGAATGTCCCAATTTGCTAGAGGTGTTCCCAAAACTATTACAAATAACAAATAACTTGAAAATTTCCTGTTCCACATAATACTACCAAGGGAGATATGGTTAACTAATGATCTTGCCAAACATTTGATTAAGCTGAGGGATTCAGAAAACATCTCTCTCTCTTTTTAAATTCCAATTCCTGCTGTTAACTAATGGAGGTTCTCAGATAAATACCATAACCTCTCTGGGCCTCAGTTTCCTAATCAAGTAAAATAAGCAGGTTACATTGGGTGACTTCTAAGGTCCCTTGCAGGGCTAAGGTTTACTGATGGCTGAAAAGACACCTGGGCTGGCCATTACTCTGTGACACAAGACAGCAGAGGAGGCACAGTGCAGAAGTACAAGCAAGTAGCACAGAGTAGCCCAGTTCACAGAAAACTATCATGTGCCTGTCAAGCTGAGATGGAGAAGTGATAGCAACACAGCTACGGTCTACCCGTGAAAATAACATTACTCACCACCTGTGAGAAAGCACACTGTCAAGATCCCACCCAGTAATACTGCTCAGGAGAATGGGGAGAGCCCAACACTATGCTGCGATAATGGAATAATTTTCAAGAATTCACTTGAAAAAAATGATACTACAAAGAAACTAAAATCAATAAAAACAAAAAACCTTAGTGACTATTAACTGAAATATGAATCTATTTTAAACCTAAGACCTGGAAAATCATCCCAACACTTATCCTTCTGAAAAAGGTAGTAAGAAGCTGCAACTTGAAAAAATAATAAATTCCTATGTAGTTACGGTTTTGAAAGTTCTCTTTGTATACACCTTGGTTGAAAATCTCTATTGACCCTTCACATACCCTAAATTTTTGTTCTCAAAAGGTAGACTGTGGGGAAGATGCTAAAGGTGCTAACAGGGGAACTGAAAACAAGGGGAGCTTCCGGAACAAAAACACCGGCGACCCCCAGTTCAGCTTTTCCAACTGCACTGTCCAGGGTTCCTGAAGTCCTGCTCTGATGCCAGGAGTTCTAACAGCGGTCAGGTAATGACGTACGCAGGAGGGGAGTCCGGCCAGGGCACCCTGCAGGTCTCCTCCTCGCTCAGCTGGGCTATGGGGCAGGGCGTGTCACATGTAACTGTGCACGTCCAGGACCACACAGGATACCTCATATGAAGGCGCTTTTCAAAGAAAGAGTTTGGTGAACAAGGAAGGGAAATGGCAAGGGAATTCACAGAACGGTTTAAAAACTGCTCTCCCTAAATTTGTAATATATCCACCGCTCTACTTTCACCAAATAATAAGAAAAACACAAAGGCACATTTAGAACCTTGAAATATTTTTCATATATTTTAAAAGTGACTTCTTTTTGAAATATAAAATGGAGCTTTCTCAGACTGTTCTAAAAAACTTTCATGGGTTGGCCGTCTCTGTTCATAGGAAGCCCCCATCCCTCACTTCCTTCAGAGCTGATAAGTGCACACAGTACAAGGGTAACTCCAAAAGTTCATGGAAAGATTCGTACTATATTTTAATTCTATTTTTCTATGAAACTTTTGGTACCCTTGTATGTATTAAAAAAAAAAATTGATGATTGGTTTTCCCAAATGATAATAGGGCCTTCATTCTACTCATTCAATAAGCATTCTGTGGATTAGAGCTCAGACTACTTAGAAGACCTGTCACTTCACAAAGCCTTGACAGTGTTGCCAGAAGAGCCTCGCAGGACTGCTCTGCTCAGTCACGGAGGAAACGTCACCCTAAGTGACCACACCTGGGTGTGCTGAAGAACTCGGCTATTGTCAATGTGACAGGCACTGAATACCATGTGAAATCTCATGCAACTCTTTCAGCAACCTGGGGAGAGGCAATCTCACCATTTTACACAGACAGAAAGAGAGACTCAAAGCACTTCACTTGTGGAAGGGCTCACGGCCCGGAAGGGCTTATGGCTGGAAGTGGCAGAAGTGGGATCCGGCCTAAAGCCACCAGTGCAAAGTCCTTGCTCCTTCCACTGGTATACTGACTCCAGCCTGCAAACTCAAACTCACTTGTCACCTCTCTTCAGAGCTACCCCAACAACAGGTATCAATGGCCCTATAATCCAGGGACCAAGGCCCAAGCTTATCTTTGAGGAGGGCAGAAGTTAACTGATGATGCTCCATGTAGAAACAATGTCAACAAACACTGATGCTACTTTTTATTTTTTTATTTATTTTTATTTTTTTTCGTGTCCGGCAACGGATCGCAACCCTCAGTGTCGCGCCCGTACCGGACCGGGACCGGCAACGGGATCGCAACCCTCGGTGTTGCGCCCGCACCTCGCTCAGCCAG